AATGGATGTGGCCCAGCTCTGGCCCACATACTTTAAATTGAGTAGAACCAAGGGATCTGGCCCAGCTCTGACCCATATACTGTAATGTGTGTAAGTTTAACGGCTGTGGTCCAGATCTGGCCCGTATATGGCACACAGTTACGGCTGAGTACCCACTTTGGTCCCCGGCCCAGAAGTGGCCCTACAGGATGCCGCACTCATTTATTGCAGAACATGCAAAATATTAGTAATGTTTATTTCTAATAATCGATAGGTTTTGACAAAAGCCACTTCAGAATGAAAACTCCATGTTGATTTTGGTTAAATAAATAAAAACAGAAAGCTTCACCTTTGTGACAAGTCATTATCTCCAGTCTTTGTGTGTACATCATCAAGGACATATACTGCTGGTCATTCCACAAACCATCTGCCTTGTATCAAAGAGTATAATGTTTTCCACATTCATAAATACATTTCTCACAATATTACTGCATTAATTTTTAAACCATGGTGGATGAAAAATTCTTGAGCCAAGTGGAGAGGCCACTGAAATAGAGGCTAAACCTGACATCTTCCTTGGAGCACTGTTCGTGTGGGGTTAGAGTATAATTTCTCAGACATTTTATTTTAAATCAGAGATGACAAACGTCTGAAAAATTATACTTAAGCAGTCTGTGGAATAAAAACAGTTGTGTATGTCCCTAAAACATAGGTGTCAACCCATTCAGTATGTCTTTATAAAATACATACATTCCTGAGATCAAGCCAGCTGTGTATGTGACACTGTTTTGCAATTTAACTTGATCAACAGCTACGTTTTATGATTCTGTATGCAATAATTACTACAGTTTTTTTAGTAAACAAATACAAAACTGGATAATCTGCTGTATCGCTAATAATTTTATTCTATATTATGTTACACATGGGCCCTTTCTGGGATTTGCATTGGATCCCACTTCAGCATGAGGTGGGTTTAGAAACCGGTTCAATCATGAGCTTACGTGGGTATATTATGATAATTTCGCTTTGTTTTGCATACATTCATTTTTACCAGAGCAGAATCCCTTAAACAAAACAAAAAGCAAAAACATTTAGAATGTATTCAGATTTTTTATTGTGTATCACAATTAAAAACATTTTAAAAGTAGAAAAAATATACAACAGACGTGTTTTGGTCTGTTGTAGATTAACCTCATACTGATTTGTTGTTCAAAGATTTATTTAAAATACTAGATAATGACAGTTATTTAGTGACGTTAATAATAATAATAATAATAATAATAATAATAATAATAATTAAAGGTTTCAAAATACTTGTTCTAAAGTAAAAACTTACCATTTATAAACACTCCTAAAATTCCTGATGCCTGAGGAAAGAGAAAAAGCATTCAGCTATCATTTACTTCTTTAACGGATTTCCAGATAACACAGCTTTTTGTGTCAAACTGTACAACAAATCCCTTTACCTGACAATCTGGAGCAACACCACAATCAGTATTTCCAGCAGTTCCCTCTGCAGACTGAATGAGCTCTGTCACTTTGAACTCCAATAACAGCTCGTCCTCCATAGAATAAATGGGTTTTACTTTAGAAACTGAATAATGAGGACTGAAGAACTCCACAACTGCAAGATCTGTGAACAACAAGAAGGGTTTTGTTCTAACAAACATTAAGAAACCCATCATCAAAAATAAGATATTTACAGGTTGATGTAAAGCACTCCTGTCAATGAACCCTGATATGAGCCAGGAAATATCGCCTCAGGTGAACAACCACAGCACCTGTTTTTACTGTTTTCTTCTAGTTCTACTGACTTAAACAGAAAGGTGATGTGTTCGCACATAAGAGGGTTTAACACTGCTGTCAAGACAATGCATTAGCCCCAAGCTAACCCACTAACCGCGAGCTAACGTTGGCCGACTACTCTGAACACTTAGCAAAAAGGAATGTTAACATTATTCACGACGAATTAACAACGAAGGGTAACGTAACTAAACCTTGAACTAATAGCCATTTCATTAATCTCGCTAGCCTGTGCTTTTTCAAGTGTTATGCCAAAACGGCATTGTTGGCTAACTAACGTTATAGTTTAACTTTTCATTTTCATACTGGAACAATAATCTTATTGAACTAAACTTACACATCACAAATCATGTTAATGTATGTACGTGTGATTTTTCTAAGTATATTACTTAATGTCCTTTGTCTTCTTGAAGAGATTTGTCTTCTCTTCAGCCCTGCCTGCTGGCTTGTCCATTTGAAAATGGTAAACTTGGGCAGGAAAATTCATTAAATGAGGGTTTTAACCCTTACAGCGAGTGTCAGCTGTTTTCTGTAACTTCAGTAATGGGCCACTTATGACATGCCAGACTTGGGCCAAAAGTACTGAGGTGTAAATCAGCCGAGCACGAATCTCCCGTAACTTAACTGTGCTGTGGCCCTCTTCCTTCAACCACATTGTTGAGCCACAACATTCATGCCAGAATTGGCCCTTGAACGTAAATATGAGTCAAAACCTTACACAGCTGTCCAGCATCTGGCCCAGTTGTGGCCCACATGCCTAATAACTATCCAGCAGTCAACCAACACCCGCAGATATAAGCCAGAATCGGCCCAGAACTGTCTGCTATCTGGGGTGTTAACATTAATCTATGATGAATATCTACACGGATTAAGGAATGCTATAACTTACATAGCTACAAAGCTTTAACCATCACTGTAAATAAATAACTACTACATAAAGTTAAGATCCCCTGAATAGACTATTAAATGAAATAAGCTTAATATAAAACCAGAGGAAAACAATCACATCAACAGGTTCTCTGTGCATCACCAACCACACGACCACATCCACACATAAACACACCTATTCCTTTCCCACTGTCTGAGTGCAATACTCTTGAAATAGTATAATTTTGGACAGTATCTTTTTTAAACTGCTGCTCTGTAATGGTACTGAATGCTGTTCAGCTGCGATGTTGACCGCCCCAACATGGCGGCGCCGTTGACGTGCCTGGCTGAACCCAATGTGGCATCTAGGCATGTATATCTACGTTCTCTCCCATTGCAGGTAACTGTACCTGCAGTTTGTTTGGGTACTATTTGATGTCTTCTCTTGTCTGTGTAGGTCTTCCATTTTTAGAGCTGTTGGCGCCACCTGGTGGAAGCCTACTGTAAAAGCAGGAAGCAGTGCCCATATTCAGCACGGCCGTGCTGCAGTCCGGCTATGATGGCCCCACAATAATGCTTCACCCGTCATTACAAGGCTTGTTAGACTCATTGCCTTTTTTTTCAAAAAAATAAACTATTCAAGTAAAATGCCAGAAGCGGAATCCTGGCTCTCCTGAAGTTATTTGAGTAGATGTTGAAGCTGACTGAGTGGGTCCTTGGACTTCTAGCGAGTCCAGATTTATGTTGACGCCTGTATCAAAAGAAATTTCTTGTACAGCCGATACTTAATGAATAAAGGTTCTGATACCGATTCGCACGTAAAGAGCCCCTAAAAAAACTCCTGCTAGTGAAATGATCCCCTTTCCTCAAATCAATTACATCGGGATAATTGTCTCAAGATAATTATCTCGAGATATGTAGGTAAAACTTTTGCGCATTACCCACTCCGCCCTGTAGATGGCACCAATACACCATTCAGGCAGCATTCCTCTTTGCATGGTCTCCCTGAGTCCATTGTCCATTTTTCTGGATTGTCATCTTGAGATCAACTATCTTGTGATCTCAGCACAACAAAGTTGTCATTTGAGGTCATGACTTAATTATTATTGTGATCCCAAGATAACAACTTAACTGTCTTCTGATTTCAAGATAAAGTTGTTATCTCAAGATCACAGTTTACTAATCCAGAGAGGCCATGACGTCGTTACAATTTTCTGGATTTTTATCTTGAGATCAACTTAGGGCCAGAAAAAGTCGTAATATTATGAGGAAAAAGTCGTAATGTTTCGAGAATAAAGTGGTAGAATTACATTAAAGTGGCTTTAATACCAGGAAAGATCTCAATATTGTGGCCAAAGGCTTTGCAAAGTGAAGGCAGCTCCTCCTCATGTTAAAATGAGGAGCGCTGAGTTGGTGGAGTTACACTTTCATATCGATTCACCCATAAAGAAGTACTCAGTCTCCCTGTCTCTCCTGCACATCAGCACCAGCCTGTTATTAGGATAAGAAATGGCTGAAACGGCTGAGCAGGAAACTGTTTATCTAGAATAAAGAGCCAGACGGACTCGGAGGAAACTGTCTGTCTGTTCTGTTGAAGGAGAATCGCAGGCAGGGTCGTCTACACGGCTATCGGGGGCTACAGACAATGAGAATGATGATCAAAATGATCGATCCACAAAGAGACAGGAGTGAACTCCGGCGCTACAACAACCGAGACCCCACGCGTTATGGCAGCCCCCCTACAGTTAGCCCCGCTAGAGTTAGCCCCCCTACAGTTAGCCCACTTTATCCTCGAAATATTACGACTTTATTTTAGAAACATTACGTCTTTATTCTAGAAATATTACGACTTTATTCTAGAAATACATACATACATCATCTAAACTGCTTATCCTTCTGGGTCACGGTGGGGTGCTGGAGCCTATCCCAGCTGTCTATTCTAGAAATAGTACGACTTTATTTTAGAAATATTACGACTTTATTCTAGAAATATTACGACTTTTTTCTAGAAATATTTCGACTTTATTCTCGAAGTCTACTATTTTTGTTTTTGATCAGTGGCTCTGAAACGCCGCCCTACCGCGCTGCACATAAAGCAACAAACCGACAAAGAGAAAACAATGACCTGAAACACTGGGGGTCCACTCGCGTTTTCCCCCCACAGTGTGAACACTTACGAACGTCTGGAAACATCGCGAAGGTGCTCAGCGGCGCTTTTCTGGGAGCATAAGTGAATTTCTTGGAGGATGCGGGCATCGATCCCGCTACCTCTCGCATGCTAAGCGAGCGCTCTACCATTTGAGCTAATCCCCCGATGGAGACGCGCAGGCGGAGGAGGCGGTTTTGAACCCACGCTGTTTCCGTCGCTGTCGGTAGTGCGTCGCCGCGCAGCGGTGCGGCTGAAGGCCAAGGAAGATATGAACTGCGTGGCGCGGCTTTAGCGTCGAACATGTCGACCGGAGTGGGAAGTGAGTAGCGTTTCGGGCTTTAATTCACCGTTTCGCGCTGTATCTAAAGCTACAGTATTAATAATGCACAGCAGACGCGTCTCAAAGTCGCTCTGAGAGCGGTAAGTCAGCTGCTGGAGAGCCGCTTGGCTCTCCGTTGTGCTAGGTTAGCTTCAAGCTAACAAAAAGCTACGCTGGCTAACATGGGGTTTCGCCAAAACAGCGCGGTGAGAAAACTTGATATCATTGTTTCTCGTGTAATTTCATCCTCGTGGTGTAAACACACACTGCCACATAAGGAGAACATGTAGTTTAGCTACCAGCGTTTTTAGTTTCCTAAGCGCTACGACGCTGACGGTACTCCCGAGCTAACCGCTAAGCTAACCACAACAGACGGGATGTAAACAGCTACGGTAACGTTAGCTGTTCCGCTCCTGCAGCACATTAGATGAAGCTGATATTGGCTTCTTATTCGACTTTCCCGTTCCACCTTAAGTGGCGCAGCAGTTACATTCGCTGCTGCACCACTTAAGGTGGAACGGGAAATCGAAATAAAACGCTGTGTATCACGTTACGATACATGAGGCAGGTTTTAAGTAAGAAACAGTGACGTGCTCCGGCCACGCTTGCTAGCTGATGGGTTCAGTGTCCTCCGGGTGCTTTTCCGTCTGTCTGTGTTTGTTGTTTGAGTGTGTAAACATGTGAGATATAACGTTATGCCGCTCTGTACAGAACACAAAATGCTGTCCCTCGGACCGACGGAGCCGTGGTCCGTACGGGAGAAACTGTGCCTTGCATCCTCCGTGATGAGAAGTGGGGATCAAAATTGGTAAGTTAAGGCTGCTAAGGAACGTTGTTGGTCTTGACATACACCGATCAGGCATAACATTATGACCACCTCCTTGTTTCTACACTCATTGTCCATTTTATCAGCTCCACTTACTACATAGGTGCACTTTGTAGTTCTACAGTTACAGACTGTAGTCCATCTGTTTCTCTGCATACTTTGTTAGCCCCCTTTCACCCTGTTCTTCAGTCTATCCTACAGATGTAAAGTCAGAGACGATAGCTCATCTGCTGCTGCACAGTTTGTGTTGCTTATCCTCTAGTCCTTCATCAGTGGTCACAGGACGCTGCCCACAGGACGCTGTTGGCTGGATATTTTTGGTTGGTGGACTATTCTCAGTCCAGCAGTGACACTGAGGTGTTTAAAAACTCCAGCAGCACTGCTGTGTCTGATCCACTCATACCAGCGCAACACACTACCACCACATCAGTGTTACTGAGAATGATCCACCACCCAAATAGTATCTGCTCTGTGAGCGTCCATGGGGGTCCTGACCACTGAAGAACAGGGTAAAAGGGGGCTAACAAAGTATGCAGAGAAACAGATGGACTACAGTCTGTAACTGTAGAACTACAAAGTGCACCTATATAGTAAGTGGAGCTGATAAAATGGAAAATGAGTGTAGAAACAAGGAGGTGGTCATAATGTTATGTCAGTTCGGTGTATTCAGAGATACTCTGCAGCAGATGATCAAGATACAGGACCTTGCTGAAAAAAGGCCATCTGATTGCTTTGCCTTCTTGTGTGTATTGGCTTAATAGTTACCATTGGATGGCAGTAGTTTCCTTTAGATCCCTTTAGAAAGCCACCAAATGCATCTGGAATCAGTCCCAGTGTACCTGTTAAACCACTGAGTCCTTTTGACTGTGATGTCAACCCATTAGAAAAGCACGTTTACCATCTAACTGCGTCCTGTGCCTGCTGTGCACATTCTGTGTTGTATGTAATTTATTGTGCAATGACCGTAAAGGAATCTGATCTCATAATCTAAAACCAAACACCATTCGTGACTATTGAACACCACCAGGAACAAATAGGAACTCTTAATGCTTTCTGTAATTTTTTGTTGAGCAGGGTAGTTCACGCCCTTTCTGTAGGCTCGCCTCTAATCTGAATGTTTTTATTTATCTAACGTTTTAGCTCAGGTATTTCATAACATGCTTGGCATGTTTAAAAAGTTGCTGTTGACGTTTACGGCAGTATAAAATGAAGACCTAATTTTAAAAGTCATTTCAGCGTTGCTGTTTATAGCACTCTGTATTATAGAGCAACGGTACATGCACTGTGTCCATAACTGTCAGATACCTTGAGGTCCCGACAGAGATTTGAGTACAGCGTGCCTTATTTTCATCATCGTTTCCTTTCAGCAGTGGATTTCAGTGGATTTAATGTAATTGTTGGTGTTAATCAGGTTTCAAGTTTCAAGTTTATTTGTCATTTACACAGTATGTCAGGACATTTATGCATTGAAATGCTTGTGGTGAGGTTCAGATAATCACTATACAGAAAGTAAATAAGTAAGAAAATAAAAATACAAGAAAAACAAACTGAAATATATTAAATATACACAAAATATAGAGACAATATATATTTTGAAGTGATTTAAGTGACTTAGTGTTATTATTATTTAATGTGACTTAGTGTTAAAATATTGTTGTCTATAGCAGAGATATGATATAATAATAATGCTGACAAAGTGACTGAGTGAAATGGTAGTAGGGGAAGGACCCACAGCTTCATTATTTTGAAGCATCATAAATAGTGGATGACTCTCAACAGTGCACAGTAAAATGAATGGCCTGTATTTGAAGCATGCTTTCCTTTCACCCCTCTGTGAGTTATTACGGCTTCTAATTGGTTTAACATAAACTACTCTCTGGAACGTGCAACTCTGATGAGCTCTGAATTGCAGGGTGTCAGTCAGCAGAGCCATCAAGCCGTTTTCTGAGCCAGGACGGCCTCCAGACTGGTTCTCTCAAAAGGTACTTAAAACATCTTACATCTACAAGTTAGGCGTTTTTTTTGTCTTGTGCAAAAGTGCAACAAGTGCATGCATTATTTTTTAAGCTCAGTCTCTTTAATGCTGACATGGTGTGTTTTTATCTGTAACCGTCATAGCACTGCGCCTCACAGTATTCAGAGCTGTTGGAGACCACAGAGGCTCCTAAGTAAGTATCACTACAGACACACAGAGACCTGTAGCCTATTTATGACACATTCACTGGAAAAAGAGTTTGAGAAAACTAGTAGTTGCAAACAGCTGCTATTGACCTTTTCCAAAACATATGCATAATTTTATTATTGATAGGTAAATAAGGTAATTCAGAGTGGTTTGATGAGAAATAGTTCACTGTAGAGAAACTTACTGACACTGGTTGCTTTACAGTGGTGATGATGGGAACCAGGGGTCACAATGTCTACAATGCCATAATATAGCCATTTTATTGACTACCCAAAACAACCAGTTGACCCTGCATGCGTTTTCTGGGTTTTAAAGTAATGTTGAAAATGGCAAAATAGTCCAAAATCTCAAAACAAAACAATTCTTTGGATGCTCTCTTTCTGAATAGCGCCTTGCATGTATGCTGAAATTAAGTTTTGAGCCAAAACATATTGCAAAATTTATAATCAATCAATGTTTGATTATGTATCCAGAGCTTTTTAATGTTATAACCTTGTTAGAAAGTGTGAGGTGCTTTAAACACTTTGGATGTTACGTTACTTTCACCACCACTGTTAACAGTTCTGACAAGGTAAGTTTCTCAACGAATCCAGACCTCTCTGATTGACTTTGTGTACATCGTAACGGTTTAGTTATGTTGAAATAATTTTTAAAAAGGTGGCATTGAGCAATTGTTAATGTTCTTTTCCTATTTTGAGTGCAGTTCCTTGTTGTGAATGTTGTATCGTTGTGTTGCTCTTCCACAGACGGAAGCGTGGTGAAAAAGGGGAGGTGGTCGAGACCATTGAAGATGTGATCGTGCGCAGGCTGACTGCAGAGAGGATCGACGAGCTCAAGAAACTCCTCAAAGACACACAGGAGCAATACAGGTGCCCTGGCTGACCTTTCATGTTTGAAGCTGCAGTTTTTATGCACTGATTGCAACACTCAGATGGCTCCCAGTTAGAGCTGGGCGATATGGCCAAAAATGTTATCACGATAAACAAAATTCATATCGTTCGATATCGATACATATCGCGATAAATGTCAAATCATGATTTCTTTCACGTTTGAAGGCTGATTTTGCTGCTGGGTGGTTAATTGTGGTTTTAAACTATCACTTATGGTCCGATCATGACAAACACTCGACAAACAGTGGAACATTTCACTAATCTGTCTTGGGACAGTGGGAGAAAGTTTCTGAGCTGTTTTTATCAGCTTGAAAAGCACAGCTGCAATTTTTGTAATAGTCATGATTTAAGAAAGAAAACAGATTATTTTTAGCTGTCTGGTGACGAGCGCTCGGCTACCCCGTTACAAATGCTAAACAAGTGGCCAACAACAGTGCTAAACTCTTTACTTTCTCAACCAAGTCAGCTCGGTTCAGTAGGTCACTGCTGTCACTCCTACCACATCCATGTCAGAGCAGATAACAGTATTCAGACACCAACTAGCGACGACTGGGTTTCTCTATGCTATCGTAGTAGTTTGAGAGTTTAAGGGGTGAACCGCAAAATATCTGAAGTTCGCTGTGTAAAAGCATTATCTGCAGTGTGAATCTCTCACACCAGTTACAGAGTCCTCCTTTTAGGTATGTTTAAACTGAAAGCGGTGCTTTTGTGTCATGTTTGATCTACAGTATCATCAATTCTCCGTATTGTGCCGAAGCGCTGCTGTAGTTAGCCAGCAGCTAAAAACAGCTAGCCTGGAGAGATGGCCCTCTCCCTCTTCCCAATGCCTCACAGCTTCCTCAGTTTACTTTCGTTTAAATCAGGGCTGTAATTTGCATGAATCCACTTCTTTCTTTCACTTTCGTTGCTCGAGAGTGCACTAATACTAAAATATGACGGTTTGGCGCTGTAACACGGCGCTGCAGACGTGATTTAACGCTGCTAAAGCTGTTAGGATGTTAGTAAAGAGGTGAGTTTGCTGTAGGACAGTACAGTTACACCACTGATCTCGTCACTCACACTCGGTCCCAGGAGAACAGATCGCCGGTCGCTCCGCTCAAACAGGGACTGTATAACTCCGCGTTTCAGCCGTTGCTAAAGTATATTTGGCGACCCTTTTTTACTCGTGGCCTCCTCCCTCTCTAATCAAGTCGAAAAACTCGGAAGCGCGCCCTCTCCTGGCGACAGCTGAGTAGTGTCACTTTCTTTGCAGTAGAAAACGCCACCAAGGCTTTCGCTGAACGTGGAGGTGTGAGAATGGTGTATTATATCGAACATTTATTGAACATGTCTTATCACTCTATCGAGGAAAAGTTATATCGCGATACTTATCATTATCGTTTTATCGCCCAGCCCTACTCCCAGTGTAGGTTTAGTATGTTTGGTGTTGTCACTTCATTTCCCCTGAATCCCTCTCTGCTTTTTGCCACTTGTAGAAAACTGAAGAAGGAGATGGATTTGATTCAGACAGGACACATGGACTCCAAATTGGAGGAGCTATGGGGGGAGATTGAACAGTAAGCTCACTGCATGACGGTTTCAGTAGGATGTGCTGATAATTGGTGATGACTATGACCAATATCCTTTGGTTTGTAAATGAGCAGCTGTTCAACAGTGAAGCTGCGTAATTGAGCTAAAACGTAAGTGTGATGAGAGGCTGTATTTGCAACTGAAATATTGTGAACACATCTGGCAGAAAGAAGAAGCAGGAGGAGGAAGAGGCTGAGCAGAAGAGAAAAGCAACAGAGGCAGCCTATCTGGGTAGGTGCATTATATGAATGAGCCTGAACTAAAGTGAAGTGAATTCGATCAGAATTTGCACCTTCTTTGAAGCAGCAGTTAATCAGACAATTCGTATAATTTTAACAATTAATCTTTAGTTTAGAACTGCAGCCGTGAGGGTAATGTTGTTAACAAACACTAGAACTGAACAGTCACTCAAATAACCCAAATTGTTTTAAAAATACCATATGCGGACTGTCTTCATTAACTTTGAAATGAGGATGAAAACATGCAGCAAAACATGCAGATTCAGGATTCAGCATTTTTATTTTCACGTATATTAGATGAATTGGAATGCTTTAATCATTCGTTTTTACTCCAAAGTAGTGGAAAGATAGAGTAATAAGTACAATAGTACTTCAAAACTGGGCATCATAGTAACGAGATACGGTGTAAGCAGTCCAAAATATTAGGGAAATAAAATGATCACAATAAAACAACATTAATATGATTTTCATATTAGTATTTAATTTACAGGTCGTTCACTTCAAAATCAGTGTCAAGATTGGTGTGAAATGTCTTTCTAGTGCTGAGTGCCCACTCATCCTTTCTTCCTCCCACATCTCCTGCAGCACGGCAGGCAGCTAAAAACACGCCGAAGAGGCTTCCTAGTGTCACTGTCCGCTCCCCACTGGGGGCCAGTTCACCCAGCATGGACCTCCCACATCCTGATACTCCTCAGCCAATGGCGGAGGAGTCCTGTCCCAGTCCTGTGGTGAGTGACTCATATCCATTTCTTGAGTCCGTTCATCCACCTAAAGCTTCTCATCAGTGAAGTGATGGTGGAACCAGAATATCCGCAGGGCCAGGACAGTTACTGTAAATGCAGCCAGGGAAGCACATACAAGTTTAAAATTTCCCATAATTAGTCTTGTGTGTAATCATTACAGCTTTAGCAGACGCCTTTGCAGAGTTTTAAGTGGTCAATGGAGGCTCGTGTAAACCCTGCACATTACATAAAAACAGTGTGTAAAACAAAACTGTGTGTTTGTTGATATTGCAGTCACGTTTCTACAATTTATTTTAGCCCAACTAAACACAAGTCTAAAAACCTTCACTTTTGGATTTGCAGTGTAAAGGTATCATAACCGTTGTTTCTCCTGCCCAGACTCAAGGAGTGGCCGTGTTCATGCCGGTGTCTGAGCCAGCCGGCCCGGGGCCTAAAGAGGGAAGCCTGGGTGCTCTGGTAGACGAATCCCCACAAAAGAAGCTCCTGAATCAGAAGGCCACGCCACCACCATCCCCTTTGCTTTCTGAGCTGCTGAAGAAAGGCAACCTCCTATCTGCCAGCCCCAGACTGGTAAGCACAAGGCAGAGGGTGAAGGTGTCTTGTACTCGCCATCAAATTAAAAGGGAACTTTGTGGGGGTGGTGAGAGAAAGGGAGGTTGGACGACAGAGACATGTAAACTAATTCAGACTCTGAAGACCGTTCGTTAGAAAAATGCTTTCAAAATACCAGATAAAGTACTTTTTTTGGATATTAAGGCTGTTTTCAGTCATGCATGTGTTCTGTATCCTTATATTTATACTTCTTTCTCTCAAGTCTTCTCTTAGTGTTGCGTCTGTGTAGAACAGGAACGATTAAGTGTTTAAAAGTGTCGGTGCTTGGAAATGCGCTTAGCGTTTATGCGGCCGTATAACCTTTAACCTGGGCACAGGTTATATTACAACCCTTTCATGCATAATATTTGCCATTTTTCTTTTGCTTTCAGTTTTTACAAGTGGAGGCATTTTTGGCAAAGCAAAAGCATGATGTAAGCTCTTACTATCTGGAGTTACACGTGCAAATTCATCCTTTCCTTTAGCATGTCAGTGATAAATACCCACAGACGCTTGTGCATTGAAATAGCGTTGGCATGTCGGGTTCAGCGCCTGATAGTTGATATGTTCTGTTCAGGTGGTGGAGGGTGAGGTGGCTACAGCTCTCAGTAATGGCGCTCACAGTGTGGAGGTTCATGCGCCCGCAGCATCTCTTCCTTCTGGCCATGACGTCTCTACAGGTAAATGCCCATTTCCGGGGATTTATTGTGTTTTCTTTCTCTATACCTTCAGAGGTGGACTGTTTAAAGGGCCTATATTCATGAATAAAACTGAATTTTCCTTGCCTTTCCCTTTCCCTTTGCTGTTCAAGTGAAAGCACAGTAACAGAACAGCCTGTTTAATTCTGAATCCTGTTTCACACATAATAACTCTGGGTGGTGCGGGTGCGACTGGAACATCTTGCTTTTCATTTCGATGCTAATGTTAACAGTTGCGAGTTTTCTCACAGACTGAGTAAGCAGTGTGGCAGTCCGTCCCAGACACGTCACAGAAGTGGTGTTGCATCTTGAGAATACGCATCAAGCCTGCTTGTTTTACACGTTGCTCTCTCCAACATTATTTATATTAGATTAGATTCAGCTTTGTCATTGTGCAGAGTACAGGCACAGAGCCAATGAAATGCAGTTAGCGTCTAACCAGAAGTGCAATGTACAGTATTATTTGCATATAAAGTGCAGAAGAGCGGTATATAGTGGTAAAAAATATAGATATGCAAGTATAAATATGATATACAGAGTGAGTGGAGATGTAGTATGTCCTGTGAGCCCAGCATAGGTAAAAGATAAGTACGCAGCGTAAACTTGTACAGTAACTTGGTGCAAATATAAGTAGTGCAGTAATAGACTGTGCAATAATACTAGGATATAAAGTACAGTAACAGTGCAGAGCAAAGATGCAGTTAAAGTGATGGTATGGAGTTCAGGAGGGTCACAGCCTCCGGGAAGAAGCTCTTCCTGAGCCTGTTGGTGCAGGAGAGGAGGCTTCTGTAACGCCTGCCAGATGGGAGGAGGGTAAAAAGTCCATGGTTAGGATGAGAAACATCCTTGATGATGATCCTCGCCCTGCCCAGGCAGCACTTATGGAAAATGTTCTCACAGGACGTTAACTGGGCGCCTGTGATGCGTTGGGCAGTTTTTCCCAACGCATTCATTTTTATAATCTAAACTTGCGTCTGCTGTGGTGTGTGGCACTGTTTGGGTTTCTAGCCTGTTTGCTAAGGTAATGTCAAGTAAGCTGATCAGCCTACAAGTCCAAACATCACAGAACAGGTTCAATTTCGCCATTCTGTCCCTTCAGCCAGTTTCTCAACTTCAGTCCCTCTGATTTGGATCATTATCATCTAAACTTTGTTGCCTTGGTTGGCAAGATCAAACATGTTCTGTGGTGAGTAGAGCTGTTAAGTCAAATGGCTGCTAGAGGCAGCCAACCGTATTGTGCTATTAAGAATCTTTTTATTTACTGAAGTTATTGATTTGACTGTTCATTTTGAGAAAATATCTGTAGAACTCACAGGCCGTGGCCATCAAGCTGCTGCGTGGTCCATTTTGTGCAGAATTAGTATGTGTGAAACAGGCACAAGTAACAAAGACAGGTTAAGATAACGTTTGGGTACTTAAAACCACACACTTTAAGCAGGCGTAGGGGGACAAGCAATGTAAAAACATAGAATATGTGCCCTTTAAATATTTGTCCCCTCTCAGATCTGTGTTTAATGACTGCTTAGTTAGTGTGTGCATTATTGAATGTGTTTGTGCTTGCTTTTTCCTTTTTCTGGAATTAAATGTGGCTTTACCTGTAAATTGTGCTCGCAGATCATGGATTCTTGATCAGTATGTCTTGGTAATATAAGTGAATCTGAAATAGCTCCACGCTTTTAGTGTGCGGGTGTGTTTGTAGCGCTGTGTGTGTGTGTCTCTATGTCAGATGCGCCCACATTATCCCGTCTGTTGGAGAGCGCACCCCCAGTCCAGATGCCAGCCAGCGCTGAGCCCCTTAATCCCCCCACTGTAGCCCCCCCTGCTCCAGGACACCACTTTATACCCGGCACAGGTCTCTGTCTCTCCCAGTCTTTCTCTTTCACGCTTGCCTTCTCTTGCTGCCTGTCTCTCTGCCTGCCAGTTCAAAGAAATTACTTTGACCAAAATTGATCATGAACTGACTTAAGCTGATGCTGATTGGTGGTTAGCAGCTTTTTTCACGTTTTAGGATGGATAGCTTAGAGTGTTTATTTTAGGTTGCAATAAACTTTTACTCTGTTTGTCTGTCCGCCTGTTTAATTCATTTAGTTGACATTTTTATCTCCTTTCATGTATGTTTTCTGAAGTCCAGGACCACCATTAAACCAGACTGATGCCTGGATGGGCTTTTTAATGCATTTACACAGTATCGTGCATCTAAAAGCTGCCTTTTACAGTTTTGCCAACAACATAATATACATCATCACCAGCGCAGTTCGTTGTTTACGATGAAGGTAAATTGCATGTTGATGTGTGGTTTTGTAGAAGCAGCAGTAGCAGAGTGTTCTGGTCCAGAGGCAGTGCTGGCGGTGCAGTCCGGCCCAGAGCAGACGGAGGGGAGAGAGGGAGAGCTGGTGGAGGACCTGGTGGCCGTGTCTTATATGGGGGATGAGCTGGACCTGGAGACAGTGGGAGATATTATAGCTATTATTGAAGAGAAGGTATTGCATAACTTACACAGATATTTTTTACTGTTTTTGCTGTTCAAATATCCAAAATTTTAAACTAATTGGTTAGTATTGAAATATTCAAACAAGGAAACATTTTATATGTGAAGCTAGCAGTTTAAAGTGTTCTGTATCTGATAGTTTTGGTTGACTTATCTGTGGCATATTTTAGGCATTTGTGATTTTAACACAGCTAAAGAGTGATAAATCGATGTCACACAGACTTGGGCAGCATCCACTCTTTACCTTTAAAAATTCCTCAGCAATTGCAAAATCTTTTAGTTTCAGTTTCATATGGCAGCATGCTTAGATATCTAAATTTCAAGTAACAATGTTAGTAATAATAGTAAGTTCAATATATATGTAGTGCCTTTCTCAAACCCAAGGATGTTTTACAAAAAGATCAGAAAATAACAAAATACATAATCAACAACAAATAAAACAACACAGTATACACACAAACACCTCCACACACACACCTCTACATTTCCAACAGCTAGCTAGGGGGGGATTACAATGACCACAGTATAGAGTCACTTAGCTAGCCCAAAAAGAGCCTTTAGTCGCAGGGAAAAGTCTTACTCCACAACTATGGTACATCGCACAGGCAGCCAGCCTAGGAAGCCCCGAAGGCCGAAAATGTCCTTCGCCACGAAGAGGTAGCATTTTCCTGCAGCCGAACTCCTCCAGTTCAGGCAGCCTCATAGCTGCAGTGCACCGTCACCCGAGTGGCCAGTCCAGGCAGCTACATATCTGCGATGTAGTGTGGATCAGGTCCCCGGTTCAGGCAGCCTTGTAGCCGCAATACAGCGTCACTCAAGCGACTGGTCCAGGCTGCGTCATAGATGTGATGTAGCGTCACCCAAACAGCCAGTCCAAGAAGTCTCTGAGCCACGGGTGGAAAATGGCTCTCGGCTGCTATCATAGTGTAAATGATGGCAAAGCTCAGCCAGCAAGGAAACAACAAAACATTCATACAAACAATACAAAACAAAACAAACGAAAAACCGATGTAAAGCGGCAGCCATATTGCAGCAGCGCACTCACAACGGAACGTACACACACACACCACACACACCTCTACGAATGTGACCTCCATATCTGCTGCTTGTGTCCCTGCACAGCATCTCTATGGTTATACATCATACTTTCACTCAAAAACTTAGAAGAAAGTCCAAATTTTTTCGTTGTTTGTTCCAGACTTCAGTGCCTTATTAGAGTACCTGATTAAGTAAACAAACACTAGGATGAGGACAGATGTCCATGTGTTTATAGAGTAATTTAGATAAGGTAATTGAGTGTATGTCTCTCTTTCTGTCTCTCAGGTGGACGAATCAGTTGAGGTGTTGGATGCAGCAGCAGTGGAAGCTGCTCTCTCTCTGTGTGAGGAAGCCGTAGCGGGGGGCCATGCTCTTTCTGGCCCCTGGGAGCACCAGGCCTTTAAACCAGTCGATCCAGAGCCCAGCGTCCAGCCCAGGGTAACTGCTGGAGCCCCAGTAAGTTTGCCCATGCCTGAGGCTCAGGAGGCAGAGCCAGCTGTGCCGTTACAGGAGGTGGGGGAGGCCAGGGGACCCGAGGCAGCGCTGGGGGACTCCATACCTGCAGCCCCACCAGAAACAGGACAAGCACAGGGGTCTGAACTACAAGGGGCTGAACAGAAAGAAGCAGAGGAAAGTAGAGGGAGAGAGGAGGAACAAACAGAGAACAGAACACCCAGCCCCTCGCTGAAGGCTGAGAGTGAGGAGTGGGCGCAGCCCGAGGCTGAAACTCCCTGCCTCGATTCAGAGGACAGCTCAGCGTCTGGAAGAGACCCAAAGGTAGTGCTGCAGAATACAAGCTCAACAGCCAAGCAGTAATATACTAGCAATGAAAATTTAAAATTTCTGAATTTGCTTCGAGGCAATTAAGATTTGTTTATGAAATTTCTCAAATTTCATCTTAGTTTGATTAAATTATTTTGGTATACTTCAGAGAAATGTGAAAATAATGCACTGACTACACAAATTTGAGAAACTGTTTACATAGTATTGGAATACAAAGTTGTTGTTTTGTTTTTTTTTTTCTTTTTTTTCAGTTGTCTTTTTTTAAGGAGGAGATTTTAGGGGATGAACAGTTTTAATTTGTTTTAATTTAATAAAAGTGTACTTTATTTTATTTTGTAATAGATTCTAACATTCAAAAGTTAATACAGTTTATTCATCACATATATCGGTGATGCAACAGTTCATTTTTATACCCCTATAAAATGCCAGTTAGCACTATATAATATGACAAATTTGATCATTTTACAGTAATTATGTATTAAAATATGCAGAGGTATGTTCTCTTAAGGAGGTGTTTTAACTTATTTTCTCAAAACATAATTTGACCAAAGATGCCAACTTTTGCAAACGACTGTACATACAGAAATGTAGGAATCCAGGCTTCTTTATTGGAAGTAATAGATTTTACATGATTGACTATATTGTTCAGTATATCAGTGATGACATTTCTGTAATTGTTTTGTAATTGTGTTTTTCTCTATTTCTCTCTCGCGCTTTCTCTCTAGGAAGTAAAAGAAGAGGATGGAGGGAGCGAGGTAGATGCAGATGAAGGAATGGAGATGAAAGAGTGTGGAGAGGGGCCATATCTCTCTGAAGTGGATCCTCCAGCCAGTGAAAGTGAGGATGGGTATGGCACCAACTCTCAAAGATATACTACTGCAGACTCTACTGCCAGCAGCCCGGCCTCCTCCCAGTTGTGAGTTGTTTGTGTTTGCGGATGGTTATGAATGAGAGCAAGATTGTTATTTAATTAATTGATTTGTGGGTGTGATACGCTAAATTCGTGTTTACATTATTCTGTGTATATTTGCCTTTTTTTCTTATATCTGTCAGCTCAATATGCAGTGAAGATCAGGAGGCTTTGCAGGCTCAAAAGATCTGGAAAAAAGCCATCATGCTGGTGTGGCGAGCAGCAGCCAACCACAGGTGAGTGTTAATAAATTAGATTTGCACTGACCAACTGCAAATGCTATGTTGTGCGAGGAAGGGCCTGGCTGCAGACATGCGCTCTCAGCCTGACATGCACCGGCAGCCTTTTTAAACGTACACCTGATTAAACGATCAGAATCCTTTACACTGTATATCAACCCATTAGGAAAACACAGAATACCTGTAGCGACTACTGGACATCACCAGGAAGCAGCAGACACTTTTAATGGGTTCTATGACTTTATTCAACAGAGAGGTGCATTAAATGGAGTTCTCTAACTGTGTTATGGACAAAAAATTGACTAAGTGATGATATCACTAAGCAGAAGCAGCCAAAAGTTACTGTGCCGTTGGGCTGCTTCTGCCATTGTGACAGAGAGTGCATGTGGCGTCACTGGGGCTGAGAGTGCATCTTTCTGAGAGTGCATGTCTTCAGCCAGACTCTATTATGTTGTGTCCTGAACAATAGTAGCCAGTAAAACATATTTTTTTGTGTTTTTGAGTTATTTTACAGTTCATAATGTATTGCAGGTACGCAAGTGTATTTCTGCAGCCTGTCTCTGATGACATCGCTCCTGGTTACCACAGCATCGTACACAGGTACCCAGACAGCACTTTTTCTTATGTATTTCTAGATACTACTCTAGATTTTTATAATATATGGGTAATTAGCTTGCATCACTGGTAGCATCAGGAAAGGATTTGCTTAAAGGCAAACCTACGGAGGCAAACTTCCAAAGTACTGCTGTGGCTCATCATGGTTACTGCTACCTGGGACTTGCTTTAATTTATTTAAGGCAGTGTTGAAATTATAGCCATTACATCGCATTCTGATCTGTCAATCACTCAAATCTCCTCCCACAAATAGGCCCATGGACCTATCAGCAATCAAGAAGAACATCGAGACAGGGCAGATCCGCACGACGGCTGAATTCCAGCGGGACATCATGCTGATGTTCCAGAATGCAATAATGTACAACAGCTCAGACCATGACGTCTACCACATGGCTCTGGAGATGCAGCGAGATGTCCTGGAGCAGATCCAGCAGTTCCTGGCCACCCAACTCATCATGCAGACTTCAGAGTCCGGCATCAGCGCCAAGAGCCTGCGAGGACGGGAGGCAAACCGCAAGCAGGACCCCAACGACAAGGTAAGCCACTCACATGTACCACATCCAGTCTGTGGGGAGGAAGGAGCCGTGGAAAATGAGCCCCATTAAGACGGTTTGAGAAACAACCTCAAAACACAAGAATACACACCCACCCAAAGCCTTTTGCTAAAGTCCCTAACAATATGGTTAGTGTTATTTACATTAACCCCCAGTCTCATATACGTAGACCCTGAGCCCAGCAAACAAAGATGCACATTTAGAGCCAGAACCAGCTGCCATGCCCAGAAGGAAAAGAAACAACTCCAAACAAGATACTAACGAAAAGGTCAGTGAGACTAAAACACACACTCTGACTCACAGACATTCCTGAAGGCATCAACAACCAAAGAAATGAAAAGGCTAGCACAAATTATCACCTAAATGGCCAATTTCCCTTGAGGTTGCATAATGCGAAAGGATTATAAGCGAGATTCCAACATGTGAAGCCAGAAAGACGAGCCAGAAAGTGAAGTCAGTTCTTTTTTGAGCCAAGCTGATGATGATCCCAAAATTAGCAATGAGAATTCAAATTAAGATACTCACCTACGTGCACAAAGCTTCTGTCCAGGTTTGGGATGTGGTAAGATTTTATTGCTTTGTGTCAGTGACTGTTTCTGGCCGTATCAGCTGCATGACCTGTTCCATACGCATGCCTCCTTGTGCTGTCCAGTCATATGTACTCCAAAGTTCTTGTAACTAATAGAAACACACACCAGACCTGAAGCTAAACCGACATTTTGTCTTCATCCCTGCTACCCTTTCCAGCATTATGTCATTTGTGTATATACTTTTGGTTGAGTTCTTATGTGTGCATGCTCTTTTGTTGTGATGGACAGTGTTCAAAAAGCTGCAGCCTCCAGCGGAAAGGTTGAGCGGACGTTGATGCATGTTCTGAGCAGCTAACTGACCAAGAGCTGGTTTCTCAAAAGCATATCAGAACTAAAATCACTGCTTTAAGGTGTAACAAGTGTTTATCTGTGTGTATACCTAAAAACACAAGCTAAACAGCCTCTATTTGGCTATAATGTGCAATGGGATGTGCACCACCTGCTGAACAGGATTCCTAATCACCAACTCGTTTATTCGGAGATCTCTCCTTGGTGTACGGGGCCTGTAGCAGGGCTGAAATGTGCTCTTTTTCGAGTAAATCGCTGCTGTCGGAACAAAACATCATATCTCCAAAAAGGTAACTTTACAGGAGAAGTAAAAACGTTCTTAAATTTTAATGGAAGTAAATGGAAAAAAATTTTTTTTCCAAGTAATTTTGGACCATTCATGTTGGTCCATTTATCATGAAATTCGGACACAACATAAAGGGCAACTGCCATTTTCAAATTATGTAAAAAAAAAATATATATATATATGGATTTTGTCCCGACAGCAACAACATAGCATGTTCAGCAATAATTTGACTGATAAATTAATCAGTAATTTGTCAGACTGATAAAAAACAATCAGAAAAATGGGCAGAAGTACCAGTTATTCTGAGTACTTGCATTTTTGAACATTTTAATTGTCTAATTTATCGAATTTATCAAGTATGTGTTGCGGCCCTGTTTAACATTAGCGGGGATTATAAAGCATGTATGTTCCTATTTAAGCTTTTTCCTGTTATCAACATTGTCAGCAACTTACCAACGTTGTAGACTAATCATTGTGGCCCTAATTGGTAAAATCTGAAGCTTTTGGGAACCAGCTCTGCGGCCGGATTCACTCCAATAGTTAAGATGGTCTCATGACCGAAACACTTTTGGAAAACTAGGCCCTGAAAGATTTTTTTTAACATCTTTTTAGGTTATGTGCGTAAGTGCTGCCAGTCATTGTGTAAACTGTCATGCACATTTCAAAGACTTTATTCTCTCTCAGCTCACAACACACAGCTCACTCATTACACTCATCTCAGATTTACATAAACAAGCACTGATCCCTTTCACTCCTCAGTCATCTTTCTCAGATTGTCACGTACAGTGACGTCAAGCATCGTCAGTTTTATTACATGCACACACTCATACAACACCTAGAAATCACATGAATAGCCTTCTCTCTATTTCACCTTTATTTCCTACCCACCTTCACCTGAGCTTGTCTGTGTTCCAATCCGCTGTGGACTAACACGCGTCTCTGAGCTTTCTTCCAGTGCTCTGTTTATTTTGCTGTGGACTTAAGATACCTAGCCTTGTTTATGTATAGTGACCCTGCTTTCACACAAAAACATTAACAGGGCAAATAATGATTGAAAGTCAGTGGGGACTTAAAACTGGAACTGATCCATATTTATTATTTCATTCGTTATTAGCAGTTAGACGTGTGCCGAGATTCAATAATAAGGTATATTGCCATGTTTAGCACACAGTATTGTTGTTGTGGACACTTTAAAATTCTGTCACTACATTTTAGTCAAACAAGATGAAGTTTCACCTGAAATTCTTTGCGCAATGTAGTCTGCTTTTGCAATCTCCCACTAAGATGTCACATCGTGATCCTATGCTTTATTTGATGTTTGTACAGCTGTTGTTGGTCAGAGCACCTTCACAGCTCACTGTAAAGTTTGCAGTGCTCTCATTTCATACATGCATTAGCACGAAGGCCTGAAAAAATATTAAGAGGAAACCAAAATCATTGTCTATTTAAAAACAGTGTTTTTTCCCAAGACGGAAATCCCAAAAATGTATAACTACAAACACACTATTGCTATTAAAAATGCTATTTAGAGCAGTATATCGCTGTTGTCGGGAAGAAATCCTTGTATCTCCAAAATGACAGCTTTACAGGAAAAGGGAGAAACCTACCTTACTTTTAATGTAAGTCAACAGAACCAGACTTTTTCCAGGTAATTTTGGGTCATTTCTGTTGGTCCATTCATCATGAAATGTACACACGATATATATGACCATTGGTACTTTCAAATATGTCAAAAACGGAAAAATGTTTTTTCCCGATAGCAGTGATATACAATACCTTATGTTATATGTATTATCTACATGTCCTGTCCTGTAGTGGTTTTGTATTCAGACTACATTGTAGTAATATCATAAACCGTGATAAAGCTTAGATCATTATTGATTAAACTCTTATATTGGCACATGCCTATTAGCAGTGTCAGGTTAGTGTTTTTGTGTTGAGCAATGCTTAAACCCACTCATCCAGAAATCTCCTTTGTTCACTGTTGTGAAAGGCCTTTGTGTTCTTTACTCTGCTTTAGCTTTGTCTGTAAGCCTTGTATGTCTGTGTCTTGTAGTTTTATATGTTTCTGTAGTGGAAAGCCTGTCTGTGTGTGTGTGTGTGTGTGTGTGTGTGTGTGTGTGTGTGTGTGTGTGTGTGTCGTGGGACTCTCTTTCTCACTGCTGTTTGTCCTTCTACAGGACAGTCTCCCCATGGCCTCTCCTGCTTTCCTTCTCTCTCTTTTTGTAAGTATCCAGGTTGAAGGTCACAGCTTTGCTCTCTGTCCCCCCTGAATCCTGTCCTCCTTTCTCTCTCTATCTCTCACACATACTGATGCACACATATATATTATATATGCATATTAAAAACACACATGCTTAACACTGGATAGAGTCCTCTTCCAATAGTACATTTCATTTTAACTGTATCTCCTAAGCACAAAAGTACAGGTATTGATTTTGAATGGGGGTAGGCACTAAAAGTTTGATTTGCTATCTTTTCAAATTTCCTTTTAGTAGAGCTCGACCGATTTATATCATAGTGTAAGAGTTTACCTGTATATATAATACACACACACACAGGGTGATTGAAAAAGATTCATCATCTCCTCCAGCTGTACGGACAACAGCTCTTTCAATGCGATTTGGGAGATCATCCAGTGTTGTGGAACCAACGACAAACGCTCTGAGCTGTTGGAGGTTCACTGATGGCGAACATCACGCTGCACAGTTATGACTGATTCACTCTTATGGAAGTGGAGAACGCAGAACGCTTTCTGCTCAGGGGTCTCCATCTCCCCTCAGACTGAAGGGAGCCATCTTCCAGCGACAGTCAGAAACTCTATGACCCCCTCTTACAATTGGTATGTGATTGGTTCCTAGAGGCCTCACGGTGAATATATGGCGCTTTGAAATCGGCTGAATCTTTTTGAATCACCGTGTGTGTGTGTGTGTGTGGTTTAGTATATATATATAATATATATATATATATATATATATATATATATATTACACGCACGCACACACACACACCCTTTTACAGATAATATTGGTCAACATTAAGGATACATGCGATTATCGTTATCGACCAAATAGCCAGTGTTTATAATTTACCTTGTTTCACATTACAGTGAACTGATGCTGCTAATGTAAGAAGAACCTAATTTCATCAGTAACCTTTTTTCTGAGTGCTCTTATGTCATGCTCTAGTATCTTAAGCTTTTTTGTTTTGTTTTTAAAGACGCTGCTGGGTTTGTGGTTACCAGTCGGTCCTTACAGCAACACCTGCTGAACTAGGCTCTTAAAAAGATGGTGTTTCAGCAGGTCTTTAAAAGAGAAAGTGGTTCCACATAGAACCATGAACACTCAAAAAACCCTTTGCTTTGTTTAAGGGTTCTTTGCATCATGAAAGTGTTCTTCAGACTGGTGGAAAATGTGCTGTAGACAGTTCTACTGTTACAAGCTTGACATCATACCAACAGAAGAACATTCATGCCACATTCTCCATCACTCTGAAGAACCCTTTCATGGTGCAAAGAACCCTATAATCATGCAAAGTGTTTTTTTGAGTGTTCATGGTTCTGTATAAACCATTTTCTTTACTAAAGAACCATTGAAGCAACTCCATCATGTTTAAAATAACAGACTTGTGAAATACATCTAAACCCAGATGTTAGCATTAGGGTAACATGCTGCAGCACAAAAGAGCTGAAAAATAAGAGCTAATTAAAGTCAGGCATACACTGTGCGATTTTAGCCCTTTTTTTAAGCCCAATATGATCAGAGCCGACTGAATTTCATGATCGGGCCGAATTTCAGCTTCATCGGCCGTCGTTTGCCGTGCAGTGTGAGAGGGGAAGAGATGCCCGATTAACTGCCCAGACGAGCTCCGATTGAGCAGTTGGACGATCAGATGGATTTCTGACATGTCTGAATTTTTGGTCGCTTGTCTCACAGTGTGAGAAGCCTCACAACCCGATTTCTCAAAGTCGCACCCGAAACCACACACAATCACAGCCACCGCTCCTACACGGAGACAAAGAAGTCCACATTCACAACACCATTCAGCATGCCAACTCTGTTTGACTGAGTTGAATTGCAAGGTATAAATAAATACAGTGTTTTTAGTCTTCGTAGAGCTGCCTGTAGAGCGCCTGCTCTTCAGCTTCAGTGCATAGTGTGGCACATGTTAGCAAAGCTGTTGTAGCAGTTTGTTGTATCAGTGGCTGAATCTCAAACGGCCCATCCTTCCCATGTAGTGCGCTAAATTCTGGCTTCTACACCAAAATAGTGCACTGTATAGAACTGTGCACACATGGCTGAACCTCAGAAGGCTGTTTATTAGACATGTGATGCACTTCATGGGCGCAGGAGCAACTATTTTAATATGTGGTGCACTTTGTAGGGAGCAAGGAGCCAGTGCAGTGTGCACCCATGCCAGTCAAACCGAGTGTTTTCGTACAGTGTGAGCTGTCACCAAAATCGCACAGTGTATGCCTGGCTTAACAGAAACCAACAAAACCTCTGTGAATTTCTTTGAAGGCCCTCCCCTTTGCTGAACAATATGTATATTATGGACTGCTATATTATAGACTGTTGATAACTGACACTTTGATAATTCACAGTTGACAACTGTCAGTCAGTTAAATGCTGCTGCAGTCTATTTAAATCTTGACCATAAGTGATATCAGATGAAATGTTTAGCCCCTTAAAATTTGTATCTGTGACCATTTTCTTATCGGTCGGGCTCTACTTTGATAAATATATTGCACTTCTTTGGCTTAGTTCTAGCATGAGTAAAGGACAGGTCTGTAAAAATGACACAGTTTAAGTTTTAGGGCTTTGTGTATTTCCTCCCACCCTCTTCTGTTTTTCAAGGCTGGTAGTTGGCCATTTTTTTTAGCACGCACGGTCTGGTGTGTCAGGGCTAACAGAGCAGTTATCTCTCTACAGAGAAGCTCATGCCCCCTCCCCCAAAACCCTGCTTTTCTGTTCTTCCAGGATGGAGGCACCAGGGGGCGCCGCAGTGCAATAGAGGCTGACATGAAGATGAAGAAATGAAGAGATGAAAAGTTGTGTAAAAGGAAAACCCACAAGGCTTTAAGGGCTAAGCATCCTTGCCCAAATCACATCTTACTGTGGATTCAAATGGAGTTAATATGGACCACATCAGCTCAGACCAGTGCTCTGTCGTATAGAGCAAGTTGGTGAGACTGATCCAACGCTTGTTTATTCTGTTATGTGCAGTTGAGGAAAAACTCATATATAAAGCTTAAAGCATTTGTTTTTGGGATGTCTGATCTGATAATCAGCCTTCATGCTTTGAGCTGGAATGTACCACTACACATCACCACATGACAAAAGTAAGAAGCTGTCTGAATGTTCCTCAGTGTGCGCTAGCACAGCTGAGGTTGTCTCTAGGGACATGGTGTCAGCTCCAGAAGAGAGATCACTTAGACCTAATTTGTGTGTGCAGAACAAGCTTGGTTCATGGTCGTGTTTATTTGTGAAGGTGTTTTTAAAAGCTGGGTAGACGTGTGTAGTTTTGATTTAGACGTGCTGTCAGCAGTGTCAGCCCTTAAGGCCAGCGTACGCCAGCCCGGCAGACACTAATGTTCTGATTTGGGGGTTGTTTTAGAATATTTAGGGAAAAAAGAACAGATAAACCAAATAAACCAGCGTAAAAGGGGAAAGGCTACGTTCACATTACAAGCCTCATTGCTCAAATCCGATTTTTTGCTCAAATCCGATCTCTCTGACACGATGGTTCACGCTCATTTAGGTAAATGATTCAAATCTGTCATTAATGTGAACGAACCGGCGTCCTGAAATGACCCGCATGCACACATCCTACTCAGTATCATCACATGAATGAATCACGTTCATCATCAAACAGACTAACGAGCAGAACGAGCTTCGCTGTGAAGATCATTAACTCTGATCAGCTCTCAGCTTCATTATTAGAGCGAGATGAAGGTGAAAAAGGTGAGAGATGCTGCTTTTCCACCGTTTACAGGCTTTAACTTCTGTTCGGCACTGCTGCCATGGTAACGCTGAATGATGCCGCACGTGCAGTGGGGGAAAAAAAGCACACGAATTCCGATCTGATACATATCCGATCTAGGACCACATATGAAAATGGCTCAGGTCGGATTTGAAAAGATCAGATTTGCGTGTCTACAGCCCTGAAAACATCACATCTGAGTCTCAGTAGGGCAAAAAATCGGATTTGTGCCACTTCAACCCGGTAATGTGAACGTAGCCAAAAACATTCTAGAACACTGTGAGTGCAAAAGAACATTCTACAGCAATGTGAATAAAAGGCAACATTCTAGAACAGTGTTGAGTGGAGCAAAACATTGGTGAACAGGTTGAAAAGGCAAGAATGTTCTAGAACAGTGTGAATGGGAGAGAACATTCTAGAGGCTTGCACACGAGGATGGCACACTCACCAGAACGTTTAGGTGTGATGTGCTTTGGCCTTTAAAGGTCTGTGTTCTCATTAGAGTGGGGAGGAGCTGTTCTCACTAAAGCTACAGTCAGTAGTGTTTCCGGTTGAATTAGGTGTAAATTTAGGCTTTTAACCCACTTGGTTAAAATTTCGTTAGGTAAACGTGGAGGTGACGATGAAAACATCCACCCTAAAACATACTGATTGTAGCTTTAACGTGTAGAAATTGAACTTGATTCTTTATATAAAAAGTACAGTTAATGTCTTTAGATCAGAATTACATGTAAATGATCCTTTTCTACTTGTTTTAATTTATGTGAGTTAATAAAATATTGGCAGTCATTCAGTTGCTGTGTCATTTCTACAGTGTTTGGTCCGAAATGCTGATTCATGATTACAGCGCTTTAATTGTCTTACATGACCTGGCCATTTTATTACCTGCTATGGGGAGCCCCCTGTGCTAAAGGTCTTAATCCTATATATACCCTGTGAGGCTTCACATTTGGATCACCAAACAGTACACATACCTTAATGTTGGCTAATTTAATATACAACTTTTCTAGTCCTGTGAAATGTGTCGTTCTCCATTTGGAGTGGGAATTCAGGTGGATATATTTTTTAAAAAAACACTTTCTTTCATCCCAAAGCTAAATAATGTTAATATGTCCATTAACATCTATCATATATGTAAAAGGAGAGCTCAATCCCAAATATATATTACAGTCACTGGTGTTGTATGAATATGGTGTAAGACCAGTGACTGTGACTCCAGTGACATTCTGGTTAAAACTGAGGATTTTGTAAATTGACTGACTCATTGGCCGTCAGGTGACCTTGTGCATCTATTTAAAATCAGTAATAAAAAATGATATACGACATTATTTTGACAATTTTAATTACTCAGCCTTTAAAGCACATAACACCAGTGACACATAGATGTTATGTGCTGCCTAACAAACTAAATTATTAATAAATTAATGAAATAAAGTGAGCAAGTGTGGACTCATCTCATGCATTGAGATTCAAAGGAAGCAGTTTAATAGAGCTGAAAATACTGTTAAAATGTAACATAAGAGTCCTGATAACACCAGTGATCAAAATCTCTGTGACAAATGATTTTAAATAAAATACATACTTTTTAAATTTAATGGTATTGATATAAAAAGTAAACTAAGCTGTTTTATACACATTTCTAAGTCATACCTCTTAAAAATGTTGTTATATATTAAAAATGGTTTCTCAAATGTTGAAAATTGGTTATGTGACGATGCTTTACAGATGCAGAGCGACTGAATAATCTGAGAGAACAGGATTAATCTGAGAAATCATAAGGGAAACTTATTATTTAATCTTGGGTCAACTGTGTAAATGTACATACTGGCATTTGGAGCTGTGCCTAATATTTCAAGCATCTTTTTAGGCCCTGCAACCTTTGTGACATGGGTTTCCACTCCAAATGGAAAAAGACACTTATAAAACTCTGCTAATGTGAAATAGTTAAAAAAGAACCACAAAAGACAGTGAATACTGTGCAAAAGGTTTTAATGTTTTCATTAAGAAGTCTCAGGGAAATACTGACGAATACAAAACATCTGTACTTTGGAGACAAATCCAGCTTGTCCCCTTAACAGCTTTGTAAACATTTTCCAGAAAAATTACACAAATTATTGCAAATTAAATACTTCCACCAAGATATGCTGTGCATTTAAATCAGTGTCTTTTTCAGTGACCTTAAACAGGAATACTGCAGTGTAGGCTACATTCTTCACACAGTGCAAAACAGCTCAGCAAAAATGCCAACATATCTCCAGAAACACAACCTGAATGCCAAATATGAGTAGACAGAACATCCTTCCATCCACAAACTGTAAACTCAAGGCATGTAGTATGGTAGTGTAGGCCTACATAAAGTATTCATTAACATTCTCCATCAACAGTAGTAACACAGACATTGAACTAGACCAAAAGCGATGTGCAAAATGGCTTGTAACTCATTATCCTATATTAAAAAACTAATACAAATCCTATTTTCCCCTTATTGGTGGTTGCCAACTTTAGTCCTGCATATTTTTTGTTTTCCTGCTCCAACACACCTACTTAAACTCAGGACAGGCTTGCTAATGAGCTCATCAGTGGAATCACTTTAAAGCAAGGAAAATTACAAAAAAAAATGCAGAACAGGGGTAGTATTGAAACCCTAGCAGTAGTGTAAGCTTAGGTAAAGTACATCCAGGAACGTTCACCAGAATCGATAATATGACAATGAAAAAATTAACCCGTCAGCAAATGTGCAAATTGCTCTGTAACTCGTTCTGCTAGCTCAAACTACTGATACAAATCCATTGTTAAACTCCTATTTCCCTATTATATGAAGTGGTTCAACTTTGGTCAAGCTCTTCTTAGTGAGTTATTCAGTTAGATTATTTACAGCAGGGGAAACACCAAACTGTGCAGGGCTGGGGAATCCCAGGACCAGTGCTGTGAGCCACTGACCCCAAGCAGTGGTGAACAGACTGAATTTCAGCAGAATTCCATCACAGTAGGGCTGGCTGAGGAGTAAAGTTTCCTCTTGACCAGCCGGTACTCTGCTCGCAGCCTCACAGCCCCTTCAGTCCCCAGCAGGTGCCTTAGAGGCGGCCAGCCGTCGGGATCCTCCTTGAACACCACAGACAGCTCAAAGGTCGGAGTGAGGCTCTGCTCGGCCGTCACGGTGCCCAGCATCTGCACGCCACTCTTGTTTTCCATCAAGAGGTGGATGACTGCGCCACGCAGGCCACACGGCTCGTCTCCGGAGGCCCGGATCAGGTCACCGGCCCACCCGGGCGATCATCCCGGCTGGGAGGAGCAGCTCCCGGCAGCGCAGCCTGGCGGCCTTCGCTGAAACAAGGCACCGCTCAAGCCGCCTGGTCAAGTCATGTTTAATACTGGCCGTGTCATCCTCGTCTTCCTCCCAGCTGCACTCAGATGCGAGACCTGGAAGGACAAAAACAAAATAATTATAAAAGCTGAGCTTTTCATAAGGAATGATCAGTAAAAGTAGTCCAACAACATGGTTATATCCTCAGATGATTTAGGAATGTTTTTTCCTTCTATCAAACTTTACAGTTGTAATATTATTAATATGATGATATTATAATGGATTATAATGTAAAACTGAGAACGTAGGGACTTCAGACAAAACCAAGACTGCACCGTCAGCTAGACAGCAAAACTGTGAGCTAAGCATGTCACGTCCCCATCAGCTGATTCAAACACCCGTGGGTGTCTGACACGTCAGACATGGCCATTTTTAACTTTTACTTTCTTGTTAGCTGCATTTTTATTTATACTATGATCATTTTAATTATTATTAATACATCTCATTTTCTGCTATTGCTTTTGTGTTTGAATTTCCTTGTTTATTTTATTTTTTGGTTTCTTTTCCTTCTTCCTCTGTTGTTTTTACTTTGTACTGTGAAGCACTTTGAGTAATGTATGAAAGGTGCTACATAAATAAAGGTTGTTATTATTATTATATTACAGTTTATGTGAGCAGCACAGCTTCTAATATCAATATATTTGAAGAAAAAAAAAACACATGATGAATAATGAGATTTAGCCCAGACTATAAGAGAAGTGTGGAGCCCAAGTGTTCAGGGCTTAGCCCCGGCTCCACCAGAGAGAGAGAGACCCTTGGGTTCCTTTCACTGGAAAACACCAGGACATTAGAGGGGGTTTGTCCAGGCAGAGAAGCGAGCTTCCACACCATGGACCACTTAATTCCCCACTCACTTAAATATCCCACAGTTGTTATGAGAATTATAAAATACGAGGCTGAACTCAGCTTCGTCTTCGAATTTTCCCGTTCCACCTTAAATGGCTCAGCTGTTCCATTCTGGCGCCGGAGGCGTTATAATGACAGCTGTGCCATTTAAGGTGGAACGGGAAAATTCGAAGACGAAGCTGGCGACTTCAGCCTCGTTCAGAAAGTGAAGTCAGAGTAGCTGAACTGACAGCACCGTCTGATAAAGACAGCAGCTCGCTGATGACCATCTACGAGGCCACTTACTGGAGGAGCTGGCTGCTTTCCTGAGCGCGGAGCGGCCCCCGAAGTTCTCTCCTCTCTCCAGCCCGAAGAACCTCTTCAGCATTTCCGTCAGCTTATCTTCCTCGGCACCGGCCGACATGCCGTATCCGAACACCAGAGCCTGGCTATAGACCATCGTAGTGCTGATTTCCCGCGACGCTCCGAAATCTCCTCCTTTGATCCGCTCCGTGTTCGTTCCATGTGAGTTCTAGAAGAAGAGTAGCGTTCTGCGCCGGCTCGTCTCGCGCGCCGCTTTTATATAGCCCTGTGCAAATGTCCCGTCGCGTTGCGTCAGCTCGCGCTACCATGGAGGCAGGCGCTGCTGCTGATTGCGCAATACCCGTATGAGGTTGGATCAGCCTGTCACATGCAACCTGTCTGATACCTTGCATTTCATTTATGAGAGGTGTAAATCTTGGTTTGGGAGAAATACTCGCCTCTGAAACAAATAAACTAAGAAGAGAGACGAACTGCTACTTACAACAGATACGGTTGTATCATCACGAATGAGCCAAAACAGACCGTTTTATGGCGTTTTGTAAACTGACAAATAATAATAATAATAACAATAAAACCCTCAAAAGAAAGGACCATGTTCTTTGATGTCCTTTACACGCTTAGAAAAGATGGTTCTTCAAGGGTTCTTTAGTACAGACATAGAACTACTTTATTTGCATGATGAAATGGCTCTTCAGATTGATGGATAATGTGCTTGACATCATATGAATTGCGGAACCATTTTTGGTTATATATATATATATATATATATATATATATATATATATATATATATATATATTTGTGTGTGTGTGTGTGTGTGAGAGAGAGAGAGAGAGAGAGAGAGAGAAACATTTTGAAAATGGGTCTATATTGCACCAAAAATGGGTTTTGCTATTGATATAATGACAAACATGTAACAGTGGAAGAAGCCTTTTTGGTGCTGTATAGAACCATTTTCAAAAAGGTTCTACATAGAACAATACAACAACACAATTCTATCAGTCTGAAGAACCACTTCACCATGCAAAGAACCATTTAAGCATACAAACGATTCTAGACAGAACTCAGGGTCCTATATAGAACCATTTTCTTTACCAATGAAGCCTTGAAGAACCATCTTTTTTAAGAGTGTAGTTCTCCTATAGTTTTTGCTCTGATAGTTTACTGGGTTCCTGTTTGCAGAGCCTTTTGAGATTTTAAGCTATTGCAAACAGATTGTTACAAATTTAGAGATTTTAAGGGTTTGAGTAAATAATTTACAGACCTGAAGAGATGTAAGGCCTCATTTGAGATGATAAAAATAAATATTATAAAATAAACAGCTCGTTTTCTATTTAACAGGTTTCGAGGTGCTGAATTCCGAGGAAAAGCTACATTTATACCTCATTATGTTGATTCAGTAAGTAATAACAGTTTTATAAAAACTCTAAAAGACTCTAAAGCTAACATGTTTATAATAAATAGTGACTGTAAATGTGAAAGTAAACCGTGTTAGTTTCTGTTCCTGCCTTTGTGTGCTAGGCTGTGTCCGTTGTAGTTGGTATGTAAGATGCTAAGTGCTGGTGAGCTCCTCCTCACCCAGCCCTAACATCAACTTCAGGAACCAAGAGCAAATCTTTGGGGTGCCTAATAAAATAACTACAATGAAGAATGAAATGACAACAGAGTAGTTGACAGATGCAGCTACATAAAAGGTGCATCTCCAAGCATTTTCATCAGGCAGACGTTAAAATCTTCATGTTTTTTTATCCTAAGGTCCTCACAAGGAGCACACGCACCTATAGCAGCAGGCGTGTGCAGGGCAGGTGTGGTAAACATGACTGCAGTCCTGTAGTTTGAGGAGACAGGGTGACTCACAGCTGAGCAGTCTCAGACAGGAAGGCCTCAGCTCCAGCTGAGATCACACTGGTTCACACCAGATCACACCACCATCCCCTTCACCACCCCACCCCCACCTCCCTGTAAATACAGTACTGTGAAAAAGTCAGAGAAACACTTTCATTTCTTTAATTTCCAGTCAAACGGCCATTAAATACAAGTCATTTTTCAGCATCATTAAAAAGCAGAAAATGTATTTAACAGAAAATTAAAGAGAAGCCTTGACAACTAAATATAAATTCATATTTTCTTTACTATTAAATGAGTCCATGCTTTGCCTTTATAACACCTTCCTTTGTTTTCAGAAGACTTGCATTCAGTTTTTTTAAAAGAAATCTGTAGGGATGTTTTTTCAGTTCAGCCTTAGAAGTTGGTTGCATTTCACTGTTTTGGCTTGTCCACCATTTAAACCTCTATAGTATGTAATAGTTTTAAATTCATTGAACATTTGTTTGTGTTTTCCTGCAATAAGTTAAGTTTCAAGTTCAAGTGGTTTATTTATGTAGGCTATGATTTGTACATTTTTTAATGGAAAAGTCTGCAGTCCCCAGCTCTTTTGTCACAGATTTTGGACAACAATACATTTTTTATTATCAGTCATAGTCTGACATTTTTAAATTATCATTAAATTAACAATTACCTTTAAATTAAAATATAAATTGAGCATTAGTACCAAACATGTTACTATTGGAGAGCTGTGTTTCATAAATAGTTTAATTTTATTAACACATCATCACCGTCCAAAGGAAAACAAGGATCAAATAATCTTTACTTTTTTTTTCAAGCAATTTTGGAGCATTTCCGTTGGTCTAGTCATCATGAAATCCTCACACAACATAAAGGGCAGCTGCTGTGCTGAAATGATGTAAAAAAAAAAATAAAAATGGTAGCCACATAGTGGGGATAGCAAGCCAACTATTTCTCCAAAAAGTGTAAAATTTGATTTGATTGATTATCAGATTTGATTTGGTTATTTGATTATCTTTGGCTCATTTTAATTCTACGTGTATTATTAGAGCATAGTTGAATATTAGTGACATTTTCACCAAATTCCTGATTTTTTGAACATGCTGTTTAAAATAAGGCCGAGCTAAATGCAGCCTTAATTAAAGAATCATCCAAACACCCATAAATGTGCAGGCCACGCCCACCGCCCCTGTCTGTGCGCTGTGTGTGAGTCACTCTCTGGTACTTTCCCCCACTGACCTCACCTTTGAGGAAGCACTGACGGCTTCTAGAGAACTACCTGAGGAAGTTACTGCTCAAGAGTAAGAAATGGCTTCCCACAGATAGTTTCAGGGGTTATTTTATTTATTTATTTAAATTTTTTTTGTTGTCTTCACCTGAAAGGGCAAACACATCTCATTAACACAGCATTTTTGTTAGAGTTATGTTTCGTTTTTTGTTCAGAAAAAGGTTATTACATGTATATAGCTCTGTATATGAAACCATAGATTAGATATGAGTACTAATAAAGGGACAGGTGACAGATTAAAGGGAAAACCAACAATAAAGTGTGTTAGTAAGGTGTTGGGCCCCCACAAAACCACCAGAACATCTTCAGTGCACCTTGGTATTGATTCTGTACGTCTCTGGAACTGTACTGGTGGGATGAAACTCTGATCCTCCTGAAGATATTCCCTCAAATGGTGTTGGAAGTCTAACATGTTGGTCCAAAATCTCTCTTAGGTGTTCAGCTAGGTTGAGGCCTGGTAACTGTGATGGCCATAGCTTATGATTTTTGTGATAGCTTATGCTTATGACGGATGGGGCTTCGCCATCCTAGAAGAGACAGTGACCCTCTAAGGGGTCAGGTGGACCCAAACCATGCCAGCAAATGCCTCCCTCAGCATAACAGAGCCACTCGACCCCCTCACTGTAGAGGTCAAACATTCAGGCCTGTACTATTCCTATAGTGTACACCACAACGTTAGCAAAAAAAAACAATAAAATAAAAGCCTGGAGATGAGACGGGGTGTGTGGAGTCAGTACAACTCAGAAAATATGATTTCAGTGGATTATGGTACAGTTATGATACAGTTATGTTCCCTGACTAAAGGTACTGAGATGTACCCTCGAGGGTACACCCCAGTGACAAGAGGGGTACTGCCCCAGTGATAGTACAGTACAGTGTGAGAAGAACAGTTTAACCATGCAAAGAACTGTTTATGCATTCAGGTGGTTCTTTGAGTGTCCATTTACTAAAGAAGAAGAAGGACCAGTTTTATAGGAATGCACACATGCACTCTCCCTCTTGTGGAGGGTATAGTAAAGGCCGACTCATCTGACCATCTCACTGTTTTCCACGTCTTTGTACACCAGTGCTGATGGTTTTTATCCCACTGAGCTCCCAAATCGGCATTCGTCCTCCCTCTCTGATCCACTCAGACCAGCACAACACACACTAACAAACCACCACCACATCAGTGTTACTGCAGTGCTGAGAATGATCCACCACCCAAATAGTACCTGCTCTGTGAGGGTCCATGGGGGTCCTGACCACTGAAGAACAGGGTAAAAGGGGGCTAACAAAGTATGCAGATAAACAGATGGACTACAGTCTGTAATTGTAGAACTACAAAGTGCACCTATATAGTAAGTGGAGCTGATAAAATGGACAATGAGCGCAGAAACAAGGAGGTGATCATAATGTTATGCCTGATCGGTGTGTATATATATATATATATATATATATATATATATATGTGTGTGTGTGTGTGTGTATATATATATATATATATATATATATGTGTGTGTATATATATATATATATATATATATATATATATATATATATATATATACACACACACACCGATCAGGCATAACATTATGACCACCTCCTTGTTTCTACGCTCATTGTCCATTTTATCAGCTCCACTTACTATATAGGTGCACTTTGTGCACTTTTTAATACTTACATCCATATGTAAAATACAGTTGTATGCAGACGTTTGTATGTGCATGAGTGTAAAAAGAGAGCTTTGCTTGTAGAGCTGATGCAACCAGCCTAATGGTTTGCCGGTAGTTGCTTTAGTTTCCTCTGCTCTCTTTGCTCAGTGTGGATGTGGTAATGTCTGTGTTTTTCCTTGCTTGCCTCAGTAAGGATGTTGGCCTAAAGAGTCGTCATTTAGGCAACATTTGGTTAAGAAACAGGGTCAAAATGACCCTTTTCTCGAGTGTTTTTGACACGTTTCATTTCAAACAATGTACAGTTCCCCCTTGTGATCCCTCACGAGCTGTCCATGAGACAGATGAAATGAGATAAGAAGCGTTTTTGATGGTATTTATTGATTTTGATCACGAGTCATGCCAAACCCGTGAGAGGCCATCCATCAATGTCAACACAGAACTGGACAGACACGTTCTCTCAGTCAGCTGACCTGAGATGATAT